CGCTTGGGGCTCGATAGCGCGACCTGTTGCTCAAAAGTCCCTTGTCCCTGGCTAATAATCCAGAAATAGCTATTTCAGTCTCTTGTATTTGTCGGTAATGCTCTTCTCGGGGATGTAACAAACTTTAGTCAATAAATTTTCAACACCGTTTCCCCAGGGTGTCTTCGGGCATATGCCAGATGTGCGAGACAGTCGGAATTTTGGCGGTATCTGAAAATCGATACTGCCCGTTCATTGTTTCCAAAATTCATGACTGTGGTTTGACATTCGGTGCTGATTGACCGTCGCCTCCTTCATTCTCCCTTGTTTATTGCTGTGCTCATCGTCTAGTTCGACGTGCCAATTAATACATGATTCATCGGAGAGCACAGCCTCCAAATGTTCTTGGCCTTTCTTAGGTGGGCAAACACCATGAATGCGAGTTTTCTCCAAGTCAGATCTTTGGCCAGTTTCCTGTGCATGCATGGCAACTTGCGACAAGTGGTCTCGCCCCTTTACGGGCAGTTGGTGCTTGTGCATGCATGTAGGGGCCGAATTTCCAGTCTGACCGCAGTACACTGCGTTGCGGGTGTCGCATGCAATCTTGTAGACAGCCTCTCACTTAGGTAGCGAGCCCTATCTTTAGGCTATGCAAATCAGTTGCGCAGTGTGTGTGAACTCCTCGAAAGACACCTTAGCAAACATCGGTTACAAGTGGAGTGCACGCCGACGACCATATCATGCCGCCAGCTTGAGTTTCTTCAATGCTGCGAAGTTCGGACTCGCCTCCGCTTTCCCCTGTCCCGCTACGACCGCATCATCTCTACTTCTAGCATTTGGCGCCATCATCTAAGTCAGTTTACCTGCAAATACCCAGCTGCGTGTGATGGACTGTGGACTGGACACGTGAATACCTCACCAGTTTTCGATTGTTCGTTTAGCGCGCACAGACTAACGATAGCTGATGCGGCATGTGAGTGCACAAAGGCTATTGCTCAGGGTTCAACTGATCAGGTAGCCTCGTGCACCATGCTACTCCCGAAGATACCCTCGACAGATTTCGAATTTAATCACCGCCGCTGGTGGAACCTGAATCTACCGTCCAAACGGTGAGACTGGATTGCTTTTGACGCCTGGCGCAGCATAAAGGTTTTCAGTCAAACCTCTTATCTTTCCATAATTGCATAAACTGGTTGTTCATCGTTGTTCAACAGCGTTGGCCAGTGAAATTCCGCGACTCCCACGTCGTCTGCTTCCCGAACCGCGGCTTATTTCGCATGGTCTTTTTCCTCAGGTCGCTGCCGTCGGTTCTATAGGCCGTTCCATCCCGGCACCTAGAATGGCGCCGCTTGTTTACATTTGTTGTCTAAACTCCTCTCTTCCTAACTTGTGATTCACGCGATCAGTAATGACCGGAAATTACGCTGTCATCGCATGAAGAAGTGTGATCGATGACGAGCGAAGTCATCTTGAACCAGCTACGAAGGGAATTGATATGGGTGACTGTGATATGCGGAATCGTCAACCATCATTTAGAGCACCAGAGCAAATCACCAAATCTCGGAAACTGGTAGTGGCGGAGAATCTTCGTAAGTGGCAGCTCCGGTAGGCGAGGAAACGTTCAGGCCTGGGCGAAATATACAGCCGACTTAATTGAATATTTCCTTCTCCGTCATCGAGGTTTCCATGGAAAGTGGAGTGGAGTGAAATGGCGGGGTTAGAATGAGGAGATGCAATGGCTGAAACAAGGATTTTTTGCGCCTGACTTTTCTTGTTTGCTTCCAAAGCCACCAGAAACAGCTACAGGAAGGGGCGATTGCCGCGCAAGGGCTGCAATATTTATAGAATGCAGTTGCCATGCCACCACTTGTCTGTCGTACTTATCAACTCCAGCACTCATCACCGATGATCGTACTAAATGCGACGACTGCCTGCTCGTCCGCATGTGAATTGCTAATTGCTGCCTTTTGATCACCTATGCTGACTGCCGACATGATAATTACTCGAAATGGGAGAGTCATCACTCTCGTTAATAGTTTTACTGGATCTGACACAGTTGTGGGAAAAACAGTTGTGTCGAAAAAACTGGGCGACTCACCTGAACACGAGTGACCAAACACGCAACACAGTGGGAGGGATGATACAAGCTCACAAGTTGTGGCTCATCCGACGAGAGTCGGCAGCACATTTAAGTTCGACGGAGTCGGAATTCTCGAGACAGTCGCATGAGTCTTAAGCTGCTCGCGCCTGGAGGCGTTAGCACCAAACCAATCTCGTTGACGAGGTACGAACCCAAGGATTTACGTGACGGCTACACCAATGAGACTCCCCGTTTCATTATTGCTATGCCCGGTTTGGTCACTGCTCGTATCCCTTGGGGCCGTATCTGCGGTTGGAGTTTCATCTCGCCTTTTCAACGGCCAGGCGGTGGTCGGTTCTGAATTGCACATCGCCCAACACCCTTGTCACCACCACTTTCTCTGGTCCCGCATCCAGCACATACAGTGGGTGACCGATCTCATGGAATTTTGATCAGAATTCTGAAATGCGTTTTTGGTTAGGAAGGATTACTTAGGTACGGTTACAACATGGATTATTATGCAGCATAATCCTATAATGTTTCGTACTCGCTAGGATGTCGGCTTTTGAATGAACCCCTTTTTGAACTCTTGTAGAAACCGCATTCGGTAAGAAATGACCACTTAAGTAGCATGTGGTTTTCACATTGATTTTTATGGCCTTATAAATTCAAATATATTTTATAGAAAATATGCATAAAAATATGCTTTCTTTTACTCAGTTGGTGAAGAATCACGTTGTATTTCAATTGTTTACCTCGAAAATTTTCTTTATAGTAGAATAATTTTGAGTCTGATCAGCCGTTACATTAGCTTTTAGCGATTTCAGTTTACAAGGTGCTTGCTTTCGGCGAAAAGAAAATCATATATTCCCCCATACCTTTGAAAAGACACCATGTAAAGTTCATAAAATATTGCAAACGATGCGGACTATGTTCTTCATTTCATGAGAGGCATTGACAAACGGACATGTGCGATGCTGTATGAATGGACATTTTACGGTCTTAAAAATCTCATAATTGAAAACCTTTTCAAAAGCTAAATATAATCTTTGTTCAGGTAAAAAATTTAAAGACAACGGGATTCTCCACAAAACGAGTAAAAGAAAGCGTATTTTTATAGTTTCTAAAAAATATATTCGAACATATAAGACCATCAAACATCAATGTGAAAAATGCATGCTACTTGAGTAGTCATTCCTTACCGAGTGCGGTTTCTACAGGAGGTTAAAAAGGAGTGCATTCAGAAGCCGACATCCTAGCGAGTACGAAACATCATAGGATTATGCCGCATAATAATCCGTACCTAAGTAATCCTCTCTAACCAAGAACGCATTTCAGAATTTCGATCAAAATTTCATTAGATCGGTCACTCACTGTAGGCTTTCATCTGTTACTTGTGCTGTCAGTGTGGCGACCGCCGCAGCTGCGCCTTGCAGGGGCACATCGACGAAATGCACGTTTCCGGGCCTTTGACTACTGTTTGTGCTGTCAGTGTGACAAAGCGCATGGCGAAGTCTATCTGTTGTCAGAATGCAAGCGAAGGTATAACCGCGTTGTCCTCGTTGCTGTTGGGACAGCGGAAGATGATGTCGGTGCCGAGGACGTCATGATCTGAACAGATTTTCGACGGGAGTCTGCTGCTGTTGTGGCAGTTTGAGCGTCGCAAGCCAAGATGTTCATCGCGTAACCCACGGAGTGATCTCAGCGCCGGTGACTTGCGCGTGACGTTGCTCGAAGGGAGGCAGACAAACACCGCATCCTCTCCTCCTTCGCCCATCTCACCCCGAGGTCGAGGCAGTGTCAAGATGACCGGAGATGGGCATGGACGTAGCGGCTGGCAAAGCCGCAACAGACGTTAACGCGTGCCACGCACGACCCGGTCCCCTTTGTGTATGCCGAACTACTGTAAGTCGGCTTGCGTTCTCATATGGTTGGAAATATTTTGCATTTTACATTGCCATCGGAGCAAGAGGTTAAGAGAGGAGAGAGTGCAATAGGAGCTGCACAAGACTGCTTCCCAAAGACTAGCTCACGCGCAAGTCAGCAGTGCTTCGTCCACTCTGCGGTCGTCGCTCGTGACGATCGTATTGCTAGATAATCCCTGAAAGAGTATGATTTCGGTCTGTTTCGTAGATTTATGGGGACGGGCTGGGGAGTTTTTTGTTTATGGCCCCTGTTAAAAAAAGGGCAAGAACGACCGCGATTGACTGGATGCGCATGAGAACTTGCCGCGGTGAGTCAGACTGTAGGTCCTGCGCGCCTGTGAGGGTTATCAGGGGAGGGCAATGATGTTGACGCGGTTGGACACTTAACAAAAGCGACCTGAAATACATCAAAATAAGTATGTGTGCTGTCAGCATCCGGTTGTTATTGATCGTCCTATGCTCGTGAACATAGAGGAGAGATATGTGGTTTGTGGAATTCATTGCACAATGTTTTCGGGTGGGACTTTATTTATTCCTGCCTGAGTAATTAATTTCCGAGTTCATCTAGCTCCTCGGCGTTAAAATATTTGATTAACGAGAGATAATATAATTAGTTTTGAATATTTAGGTATCATCAATATTTGCTGTCAGTAAGCGTATCTCAGAAGACGTTTAAATTAGAGTGCAGGAATTTATTTCTTTATACCCTAGGTTTCTAGAAAATATAAGCTTCTGACATCTGATTCGGCGTGTCCCTCACCAGATTTCACATCACTTTTTGGAGGATCCATGCGGTTGTTGCCATTCTTAGATGTATGCGATCACTTTTAGCGGCGCGTCATCACAAAACGCTTGCGCATGCCAGATGTCATTATGTACGTATGTATTTTAATGTTACTGACGAAGCCCTGGATGACACTACTGATGCTGATTTGTCCTTATAAATGTAATTATATAAAGTCGGCATAAAATATAGTCGTCTGCAAGGTTTACGGAGACACTTGACATAAAACAGGTGGTCTTCCAACAGGTGGAGAATGAAATAAGAATATAAAGCTCATAGCCGGCCGTAAATTGTCCTGTAATGAGAATCGTCGTTTATTCAAAAGAAAATAGATCAACTGCTTTTTGAACATAACCATTGCGCCAGAAGTTATTATTTCACTTGGGAATGAGTTCAAGGTTCGGGGGTTTTGTTGACCTAGGCGCGTTCATTCACGTTTAAGTTTGCATAGATGAACGCGCGGGCAGCTCATGTTCGTAAGCTTGAAAAACTCTTCTTACTAGTTTTATCGCCCTTCGCTGAACCTGTTCGATGGCATTACTGTTTTCTCCCACACAGGGTATGTATGCTGGCATTCCACACTCCAATTGCTGTCTAACAAGCACACCAAATATCTGCTCGAATAGTTCGCGAGGAAACAGTACAGATACATGCTTAATCCAATTCATGCTGCTCGTTGTCTTCGGGTCGCTGTTTAACGCTGCACGGAAGGGCAGCGTCTTAGAAAGTTGCCCAGATACCTAGATCCTTATGCGTATCCAGTTTTAGGTGACGTACGATTTCTACGGTACTATTATTTTGGGTAACGGTTTCGACCTGCCTTTACGCATGGGACATGTTAAAGGCTTGGATCCACCGGCTAAAACGGGCAGTTAGTTTTTCGCCGTTTTCTAGTTGTTTCAGCGCCCCGTCCCATTAACTGGTCAGTTTCATAATTCCGTCACCTATTAACACGACGGTATCGCAGTCTAGATCATAAGGGCAGAGTTTGGCGTAGATTAGGAAGAAATGAGAACCTAAATCCGAACCCTGTGGGTCACTGCTTATTACTGGCACCTATTCAGATGCTCTGATTACCTTATGCAGCATGCATAACTCGAAACTTTTCGTTCACTTACAAATGCTGTCTTTAATTTCACACTGCCAAAACTTTTGTGAGAATAGTCACTGTGACACGCTATCAAACGCCTTCTTGAAGGCGGAAAATAGGACACCTACTGGATAATCTTCGTCATTGTCTTCCGCCCATTTTTCACGTGACTGAAGACCACCGTAAGACCTAAGTGACGACGACGAGAATCGTGATTGGCGGAACATAATAGTTCCTCTGTTCCTGATACGCCATTAAATACCACTTTATAACTCGTTTTATTACGTTGGTCAAAATGCAGGTTAGACAAGTGGGATAGTATTTTTCTGACTCCAGTCCAGCATCATGATTCTAAATGGGGAGATAAAGGTCGCTTTTCGTTTCTCCGACACTTCGTTTTCTTCTGCGGACTTTTAAAGAATCATCGGTACCAACCCGCACAGTGCGTCGGCCAGTTCTCGAAGGATGAGGGGATGAATTCTGTTTGGACCAAATGACTTAATAGGCCTCAATCGGATTAGTTCTGCACTTTTAAAGGCTGACGAGAATCAAACGCAGTCGAAGCTTCTTACTCTCCTGAGTAGAGAAGAGGGGTGGCATGTTATTTGTGAGTGAATATCGACCGAAGGAAATAAAATTCGACTAATGCTTTCGTTTGATTTGCCCTCTATATTTTTCCTCTTTGGGACCCCAATGCCAAGTACTTCCCGAGAGACGATCACTCGGCAACCAGAGGTTATCCGAATATGAAATCTATTAGTCCGAATTAACAAGGAGATTTTTACTCTGACCGGGAGAGCACAGTAAACTCAATGGGTGGCGGCAGAAACTGCTTCAAACTTATTGTGACTCAGCCACTGATGATGTTATGCACGACATGAGGCGTGTGCCTGCAAACAGCAGAGGGGCAGTCCTAAGTAGTGCCAAATAGTCGCCACGTCGAGGCTGAGAAATTCGAAAAGCAGTACTCAATCAAGCAGGAGTGTTAATCGGCCGAAGGCGATATAGGTTGGGGCCATACTGGCGATCACGATAACGCACAGCCAAATCTAAATTGACCCAATAACCACAAGCTGCTTTCTTTTTAGCCTCGGCAACAAACTAATTCTGTTAGGGCTTTCGCAAAACCCTAGAACCCATCCTTCATCTGACATATTTTCGTATTCCAGAAGGTTGTCCGTAAATTACAAGGTAGTGAACAGTATCGTTCATTTCCCTTTGATTCATCTGTTGCAGCAAAGAATGGATATCTCAAGGTGAAAGTCGAGTGGTCACACGTCTTATACGCCGATTGGTTGTAAGAAATTTACAGTGCTGTATTTTTACTCGCTGATTAGGTTCATTTCAAGGTTAACTTTGTCGGTTTGCGACAAGCTGGGCGGTTAATGATGTTGAGATTTATATTATTTTATTTTTTGCTTCCATTTTCCAGTTATGGTAAGTTATGCAAATGTTTGTGGATTTTTTTAGCCGAGGAAACTTCGCCTGAATTGCCAGAGTTTGTACCTTCACATGAGTGGAAAGTTATTTTGCCTGGTCAAAGTATTCCGAAGGGCATTCACGTCCGACATAACTTTGAGAATGGTCTAACAGAAGGCAAGCTTATGGATTCGTCAAGTTCGGAAGACAAAAATGGTATCCACCATTCGTAAATTTCACCGTTAGACCTTGTGTTGACAAATGTGGAATTAGCTGACAAAACACTCGGGGACAGTCCGGAGACGGTTGAAGAAGAGCACTCACACAAAATGGTATCTTAGTTTTTCCTGTTTATGATCTTTAGGATGTGAAATTTGACGCCTCGACAAAATATCGGTCATACGCCGAACTAAAAAAGGATTACGATACTATAATGTCGTCGGCCAGGACAGATGCTCAGATCATGCAGAACTTGTTTAACGAGTATGAGACGTCTTCATCAGAGGAAACAAAAAACGTCGTACTTCAGGACTTAGCAGAATACCTCCGCCAGGTTTGTTTTTCCTTCACCAACATACTTCTCAGTTCGATAATGCCGTAGACTTTGCTAACAGTGGGAACTTGTCAAAACTAGTCCACGAGCTGCCCGTCGTTCCCGTTGCGCGGAAAATCTACATTGCTCGATGTCTCTCTTCGGCACTGCAGGGGTATGTGTTTTCTGTTCACACCGATTTAGTCAAATGACACGACGTTATTCTTTTACAACTTTTATTGTAGGCTTTAAGTTTTATTTTCGGCATCTTACTGCCAGTTGCAGCACTTCGTGAGTCCATCGTGAACGTAGAACACCTTTGATTGAGACGGCGATTGTGAAGGCGACACAAGGCTTCACGTTGGAATTCTGAAACCTTGCTTTGGGCATCGTGATAAATGAGTTTTGCTTGCTTGTGAATCATAGCATATAGAAAGTCGTCGTCGGGGTGCGCTTTCTGCTATTTTATCAGTTTCGTGGTAATAACTTTTCAGGTGGTAACTCCCGCCCCCCCGGTTTTTAGTAGCTCATAAACATTTTTTGCCGACTGCTATTATAGCGTATCACTAGCTAATTGCGCACCGGTAGTTTCTATTTCTGTTTGCTGCCGACGTATTATCGCGTATTATCGCTCATAGCTACCGACCTGTGACTGTGAACCCTTTGCGGGTTGGATAACCAAATCCATGCCGATTTACGTTACCTTCCGGAGGGCTTTGAAGTGATGCATTCCAGGCTGCATTTGAAAATCTACGGTGCTATTTTCTTATCTCTGTGTCTACTTGATACCTTGGTAAACGTGAGCGATGTTACCTGGACCTATTGTCAAACCGTGACGGTGGTTCCATCTGTTCCCTTTCACCCTGTTTTAGCACCGAACGCAGAGGCCTCATGAATCATCTCTAGGTTTTGCATACGATGGCATGCAAATTTGGCGCTGGCCTTTACGGGATTCCGCTGATAGGGTGTGCTTTTAGCTAATTTAGCAGTCCGGAGCTTGTGGGACGATACGCAGCAAAGGTGTCTAGGTCTATTCAGCGGTTTTTCTTAAATCGTTCCTGTTATTCTCGTGGCGTTGTGACCAAAATTGTCGACTTGTTACATATTTGAGCTCCAGGAACAGTAACGGATAGTATCTCTTTGTTATCACTATACATATCCCATTTTTAACAACTACCTTGAAGAGCCTATTGGACCGGTACTCTATAGAGGAGGGTTTCATGCTGGTGTAAGTGTCAGGATGGCCTTATAGTGCACTTATAAAATTAGGAAAATTCTTCTAAGCAGCATCTGCTCGGAAAACAATGCCGTACTTGTGGTCTATTTAGTAAAGGTCTAATTAATTAATACTTGAACTTCCCTTTTACGGGCTGAAAGGCTCAGTCAATGGGGTACCGCATCCTGACGAGTGATACAGCGGTTAATGACCCTATGTCCCCAAAGCTCTAGATTATGTAAATAAATGCTCCATAATACCAGTGTAACGATGTTGTTAGTGTGATTGAGTTCGGTTTCCTATTACCCGACTGCGAGCGTGACACAGAGAGAACCTCGTAAACCGCTTACGACGGTCCAAAGATTTAGTTAGTCAAATGCTCTAGGAGGAGGTTTCCTTGTAGAAAGCTTGACTGCGCGCAGAGAGAAACAGTTCCAGATACCATTGAAGTCGGCTAGATGGGGCATGATCACAGCCTTACTGCGTACAAGTAAGTTTTAATAGTTCTGGAAGGTTGTAAGCACAAATCCAGTCTCAAGTGCGCTAGTAATATTCCTCCTCCTCCTC